TTTGCCAGAAGGTCATATGATAGCGGGGGGTCGTCGCCTCAGCACCAAAATTCTGTGGTTGTTGTTGGGAACGGCGGCCAGGGAGCCAACGAAGCAGGTAGCTCAGACAGGCTTGGTCGCAGCGATCATCATCGTCGCTCTGCGTCTTCCAACGACGCAACCCCTCGTCCACGAGCCGCTTCACCCCGTGCTGGGCCATTCTTGGGTTTTCCTGGGTTCCATCATGATCGTCATCGCCCCCTGCAGAGCTGGATGTCGCTTGATACATATGCTGATAATAGTGCAGAGCTTGATATCGCGGCACCACCTGGACGTCAAAACGCTAACACCAACGTCCTGTGCTCGGATCCCTTGCTCTCCTCTCATCCACCACCACAGCAGCCATCAAAGCGCCTTGGCTTCTTTTCTTCAAATACAACCAATCACAGCAAGACTCCGTCGCCCTCTCGAGCACAGCGTCACACGGATTTGGACACGAGCAAGGAACGCTTACATTCTGGTTGTCGATCTGAAACAACTGCGCATAAAGATATTTCAATTTCCAACATGGCTTCTGTTGCTTCGTCAAGCGCTGTAAGCAAAGCACAGACCTCGCCTTCGAAGGTGAGTTTGGGCGGAGCTACTGTCCTACTGATGACACTATCTTAATCATGCCAGCCCTCCTCAACACGTACCTACGACGCAAAACTTGTCACAAGAGAGATGCACCGATTGGGCTCACTTGCAGGTCTCAGTCCGGCTTTGACTCCATCGCTTTCTTCCAGCGCGTCGGCATCAACGCTAACACTTGCACCTTCCACTTCTCCTTCAACGGCCACGCTCGGCCCCAATACATCGCACAGTCATAATGTTATTAGCGCTCTGACAAGTACGACTGTGTCGGATAAGGACAATCCATGGGGCACGCTACACGTGCACGTCTTACCCTTGTTTAACGAAGAACCACTACGTGTCCCGATGTAAGCCTCTCATACATGGTCATTTTTGACCATGTTGACAATTTTCTAGAGAGGATTTAAATGCGCTCGTGAGGCGGCATATCCAGACCGTTTTGGCAGCATCTCCCTCCAGGGCTCTAATGACTCTAGCGACCGATGCGCGAGAACTGATAGGGGCTGGTATGGTTACCATGAACGCAAAGCTTACTGGGCTATCAGATGAACTACTTATGAGCCGCTTAATAGAGCTTTGGTCGTTTTTCTGGGACCATATATTGCCATATGTCGAAGGGGTGAGTCTGGTCACCGCAGTTCAGTATCTCACGATTGAGGTGACAATACTCAGGTCCTGCTCCCACTTCAAACTGACCAATTACTAACATCATTGTACCGCACATCTAAACAACACCGCTCCTCCTCGCCAACGCGTCAAGGCGCCAAAATTGCACCTGCCCTCCCATCGTCCATCGCGGTTTTCTCTCCAAGCATAGACGTTCGTAGCGTCGCGCTTTGTGCATTCCGGGACCGTGTCGTGTTACCCCTACATGGTCGGCTGCACACCTCACTCTCACCACCTCAAAGCAAGGATACACTCGCCAGACTAAGCCAATACCGTCAACCGAGGCTGCAACAGATGTTCGTCGCTCTCCCACCTCATTGACAACTTCCTCACAATGATGATTACTTGCAGGCTACTCGTACTTACTTCTGAGCGACGCGTCCGTCCACCATCACCAACGCTTTCGCTCCGCGTGCCAGAAGTGCAACCAAGCGCCGGCGAAGCTGCTATCGCCGATCTCCTCCGTTTGTTCTCTCAAGCTCAGCAACATGCCCGTGCAAACCATGCCTCGCGGCGACCGCTCGCACGTGGGCTTACAGTACGTGCTGCTACGCCGAGCTTCCTCTCTGCTGGAATTCCAAGAGATCGTCGAGGACGGATTGGGGGGCACGATGTAAAACGGATGATTCTTAGTGCTGGTGGATGGCCTGTGTCTGTGCCTGCAGCAAGGCACCGGAGTGCACCCGCGGACGACGTGGACGCCGATGCGGAAGACGAGGGTGAGAATGAGGGTGGTGAGACTCCGCGACTGGGCATGATGGATAGTCGTGAACGTAGGGATGTTTTATCGTCATTTCGAGCCCCGTTGGAGCATCACCATCGAGCGAGCACGGGCGGATGGGGACTTGGAGCTGGTAATGAAGAAAAGCAGAGGGAGGACGATGATGATGATGACGAGGCCCCAAATTGGGATACTCAGGTACGCTTTGAGACGCAAGATTGTGTAGTTATTGGCAGCTAACTAACGGTTCCATGACGGCAGGCGGCTGTGGAACGGATGGCTGGAATGAAACCAAGCGAGTCGTCAACGGAGACGCGGAGGAGGATGACTTGATAAGACATGTATGCTCTCGCAGTGTACATTACCAAGTTACAGGGGTGGTCTGTTCATAATCTAATTTATGCATCACGCAGACCCAGCGATCGACGAAGACGGCCTTCATCGACCTGTTCGACTTAGTGTCATGAATCCAATGCCGTGATGACCACGTGACTACTGGCGCCACAACGACGTCAGAGAATCCAGTGCCACCCGTCAAGAGGTATAAAGGGGTATGCTGCACTCACTTGCTCCCTTACTCCTGTATCACTTTCGCCACCTCTGAATTCACAATATGTCTGGTGCGTTCGTAAATTTTCCCTAATTTGTGACCCGGAGCTCAGCTCCGGTAATTAGAACATAGCAAGGATACATCTCGTGTAGCAGCTGGCCTGAAGGCTGCAATCCATAATCCGAACGTCTCTGAGGAGGCTAAGGAACACGCCAGGGAGAAGCTGAGGGAACTGGGTCAAGAAGCGGGGCAGACCCACGAGACTCCACGTGAGAACCCTCGCGTTCTCGGCGGGTACAAGGCCACTCTGAGCAGTTTGTGACCTTCCCGTCTCCCGTGCCTGTTGTATTGATCTCGCTGATTCAGACCCACACACCTCAGAGCAGGCCAAGCATCATGCAGAAGAGGTCCTTCGGGCGGCTGGTATCGACAGCCGACACCCTGACCACAGCGATGAAGAGCACCAGACACGTGTGCTGGCCGGTTACAAGGCAGCTCTCCACAGTATGTGTGAAAGCATTGCTCTAGCTCATCTCTTAACGAGTCTCTATACATAACATATCCAGATCCTCGCGTATCAGAGGAAGCGAAACAACATGCGAAGGAGTTCCTCGAAGAACATGGCATTGAGCTCTGAGCGTCTGGTCTTTAAACCTTGCTGTAGTCGTACAAACCCTGTGACAATGTATCGTTAGCTCTAAGTTATGTGTATCATGGATTAACTCGATCCTAAGGTTACGGGCATCCTACCTAAACTTACGACGTGGTGATCTACTTTGTAAGTTGCTCCAGATTGCTCAAGACTTGATCCACCCGGTCCTCTAGGCTTCTCACATTTCCAGCAACTGTGTTGCGATTTGCCTCCAAACTAACTTCAACGTCGGTCACAGCACTTTTGAGTGCTTCCAGGGCTTCTCTTGTCCCCCTCTGTTCCTCCTCGAGAGAGGCCATTGTGCCCTGGAACTCGGCGGCAGATCCGTGCAAGGCGGAAAGTGTCCGCAAGCGAGTCAAAATATGAGGGATGTGAGGCAGCGATGGCGTGAGGCGCGACAGCATCGGAAGGACGGCATCTTGAGCAGGCGTAAGAGAGGTCGAGGTACCAGTACCGCCATTGGGCTGGCCTGTTTCAGCTTGTTGGCGTTTCATTGCCTGGCTGGCAGATACTCGTTCAAGGTCCGAGAGAAGAAGTTTAAGTCGGCGAGAGACAGAATCGATGTGCCGCGGCTGAGTGAGGAGAGTGAGCTGGTTATTTAATCGCATGAGCATAGGGAGAAGTGGAGGTGTGAGAGGAGTGGTCTGGTAGAAAATATGTTAGCATGGAGGCGTGCTTGATTAGCCTTGACGTACTTCATCGAGCGTAGCACCGACAGACCCAACCAACTTCTCAAGATCCCCGACTCTCTTGTCCATTTCCACTATACTCTGCACTTCAGGCACGTCACCGCCTTCTTTACCACCACCGCTTTTCAGCGTATCATGATCGGCCTTCACAGTATCGCCTTCCTGAACTTCATCCACAGTGACTTCGGTCTCCCCGGTTACGACACTGACTAACCTCCCCCTCCCTTCTCTCCCCTTCCTCACTTTCTCCAGTCTCCTCCGAACATCCACCAGGCCCCGTATCATCTCCCCCGGATCGACAGCTTCTCCTTCATTCTTATCTCGCACTTGAAGAGCAGGATTCGACGGATCTGCGAGCTCCGTTTCCAGCGCCAACAACTCAGCCTGCAACGCGCGAAGGCGTGCAGGGAGGGGGAGAGAACGCGTCGGAGAACCAGAGCGCGAGGCCGAGGGCGACCGGCTTGACGAGGGCGACGGTGGATACGCATATCGCGTCCGCTGACGGCCTACACCCAATAATCAATATCAACCGTGTCACCGATCGGTGCAGGTCAAAAAGTGAGCTCGTCTGTAAGAGAAGGAACTTGCGATGTATGACGCACGTTTTCGTTCGGCTTTCTGGAAGTGTTTGCTGGCTTCTTCTGGACTTATCAGGTTGCTCGTGTCGACTTCTTCGCGACCGGTCGTCGCGCCATCGTCTGCTGCCCGGCTACGAAGACGTGCGGCAGCGGGCTCGTCGTCGCTAGCCTCGCCACCCTAGAACGGATCGCGTCGGGGCACGTTGAGTAATTATAGCGGCACCTGACGGGGAAACGTACATCTGTATGAGATGTCGGAAAAACGTCCTCTGTTTCGTAGACATCTGGTGCAGTGTCCTGGGGTGACAAAATCAGTCCGGGGCCATGTCAAGAGACAAAACAAGGTTTACGAACGATGTCGGGTAGATTTGCGTACTTGTTCGCACTCATGATGGGTTGGGGCTGTCAAATTTCACTTGCTTCAAGTTGCTTGCCTACTAAATGCCCGTCGCAGTCTTTGATCAAACCTGAGCAGACTTGCAAGATCGTGGGAAACCCTCCAATTGTCGTACAGAAAAAAGTAGTAAAAAAGCGTCACCTGAGCGATTCGAACACTCGCGGTCAAAGACCAACCGCTCTTTGCTATATAGCAGGCGATCCCGTTAACCACTCCGGCAAAGTGACATGTCAACACCTGTCAAACTGTCGAGTATAGCCTCATTGCAAACAGTACAGCTTGATCCACAGCTAACACCTTCTGTGCTTCTAGGCGACAAGATAATACAACCTCCACAGGAACCCCAAACGGCTCTGCAATCTCTTTTCCCTCTCCTCATCGTCAGCATCGTCAGTGACGTCTTCAACATATTCGTCCTTATAAAGATCCACGGCGTGAATGTCGACAATGTCGAATACCGATTTGTAGTTCGTTCCGCGATCTCGAATGTTGGTGCTTATCAGAGGAGTTAACTCGTCAGCGGGCTCTGGAGGTGAATTGCCTAGAGTGGCAGCTGGGGTGACTGGTTTCGTGATGGGTACAAATGTACGCTTGGCGAGGAGCCAGGCGATGTACATTATGATCATGACGGGTATTTCAATATAGAAAGAGAGAAAATCCACTGGGATGAAGGTCGGCGCAAATGATGACCAGCCCTGGACTACATATTGTTAGATTTACAAACGGCAGAGCGTGACTGCCTTACTGAGGATTAGGGTGGACACGGTGATGATCTGTCCCGGGGTGAGCGAGCGGTAAAACTTGACACTGATGCAACTTACCACAAAGTAAGGGCCCCATGGCCAAGTCCAACGGACGTAAAACTTTAGTTCGTCGACCGACCGACCTTGTGCAAGCCAGGCTTTTCTGAACCTCCAGCTTGCCAGCCCAATGGATAGCCATGCGATCTATGAACCATAAGGACTCTGTATAATGCTGAAAAACGTGGCGCACCTGGTTGGAGACACCAACGATATTCTGTAGCCATCCCCAAAGCTGTCCGCTTCCAATATAGCTACTTCCGAAGCATAGGATACTAATGCTGCTAGTGGCTAGCAAAGCAAATATCGGGACTCCAGAAGGGGTCGTCTTGGAGAATATAGCAGGGGCGTGTCTTTGAGGGGTAACGACGGAAAGGCCATAGAGGACTCTGGTTCCTGCAAAGAGTGCGTGATTGCCGGCGGAGAGGACGGATGTGAGGATGACGGTGTTCATGAAGGATGCAGCTGCGGCTGTTGAAGATGTGAATTCATCGCAAGTAGGTATGTCGGGGAAGACATACTTGATCCAGCCATTTCGAACACAATCGTGAACGGGGACGTCGTGGTCGTCTTGTTTGACAGGTTAGGGTAGTCCCAAGGGACTAGGGGGTGCATCTTGAGCACGGAGAACGCATTCGTTGATCGTGACACTGACCATTCAAACCAATAAGTAAAATACTCAGGACATAAAACAGAAGAATGCTGAGGAATTGTGTGAATGCGGTAGTAGTCGACCAATCATCAAACATACCGCCAGAAGACGAACTTCACAACTCTTGGCATATTGCGCGACGGGTTCTTAGTTTCGCCGGCTGTTATTCCAAGACTTTCGGTTCCTCCATCTAATCAGAACGTCAAGCAGAGACGAGCGCGGAATGACCAAGGAACTTACATGCAAAACTAGCGGTCACGAAAACCTTCGCAAAACCTGCAAAACCGCCTACAAAGGGTGCGCCGGGTATGCTCCAATTCTGTCCTCCGATGTAGGTATGTGAACGATTTACACCGACATTGACCAGAATTCCGAGAATGATGAAGATCACGACAGTCGCGACCTTGAGGAACGATAGCCAATATTCTGTGGGCGCAGTGAGACATTTTTGGGTGCAACCCAGGGAAGGACTCCTCACCTAGTTCACCATAAGCTCGAACATGAGATGCATTCACGGAGACAAGAAAGACCCAGGCAAGGACGCTGACCACCCAAGGGTTCCAAGGAGTCCAAAATTCAAGAACAAGCTGTGCAGCGGTAAGATCCGACGCGACGGAAATGGCATCATTGAACCAATAGTTCCACGACAAAGCGAAGCCGTATGAGGGAGAGAAGAATCTCGTTGCATACGCGTTAAAGGAACCTATGCGTATCAAGTTGAATACGACACGGACCTCACACAAGACCGAAAGGACCTATACCTACCAGCAACAGGGTATTGTGTAGCCATTTCGCCGAGCAGCAGTAGGGTCACATATACGATGAACCCCACGATGGCATAGCAGATGAGCATACTCGCGGGACCACCTTGAGCGAGAGATCTTCCAGTGCCTAGGAAGAGTCCTGTACCGATGGTTCCAGCTATAGCTATCATCTGGACTTGTCGCGCGGATAGTCCACGATGGAGTCCACGGTCGAGTGATGGCTCAGGGGGCCCGTCATCGTTCAAATGTCCCTCGAGCGATCTCAGGCTCCTCTTCCTCTGTGACGTTTCAGCGTGGTTTTGTTCCATGACGGTCGGTAACAACCAACAGCCCCATACACAATTCGAGGGAGAAAACAGAAGAGGTACGTCACGGTTGCAACGTTGAGCGCTTGTCATTGGCGCAAGGAATTACGGTAGTTGGTATATAGGGTGGCGCAATCAACCTGACTAATAGAACGTTTTAACAAAAATTTCGAGGTCAAGGACGGCGACCAAGCTGTCGGAATGCTATGTACAACTAGATATGCCTGACCTAAGTAATATCTCAGTGATGATCTCGGCGAGTTTCTTTACAACAAGGTGTAAGTGCTTGGTATGTTCTTGCGAGTGTTTTTTGAAGTTACTTTCTTTGCGAACTTTTAGTGTCAAATTCGTTCTTTTTTACGCTGATCCTGGATATTTCGGATTTAGTCTGATCACAGATTCAGATGACAGTAACATTCCGCCGGCATGCTGCACTTGCCTGCACCCGAACGCCCATCGAGCAACGCCCACTAGGTTTTTCCTCCTGCAGGGGCTGTTGAACCGGGTCAAATCTTTCGAGATCCAAGCCTCTAAGGTTGGTGTTGTGTGCAATTCTTCGTTCCAGACTAACTTCTTCCAGAACCTATTGATATTAATAATCGATATTATAGTGCACCAGCGGATGTCGCAAACAGCCAAGGCCTCTACTCACAGACCAAAGATACTCCAGATCCCGTCCACTACGTCTTCCAGCTCGGCTGCTGTTATCACTCCGGTCATGCAGAATCCCGTACCGCCGCCGACACTGATCGAGTTCGTGAGCGCTACCCCACCGCCCCTCACGTTTGAACTAGTCGCACTTGCGCCGTATATCGCAGTGGTCAGGCATATTGCTCAGATCTTTAGCTGGGAATCTGTTTGGGAAGAGAGCTGGCTTGCTCTTGCTGGGTGGTGGGCATTATGCATGCTTTCGGAGCCTACTCTCAAGTACGTACTGTTATTCGGAGAATACATCCGCTGGAAGATAATTTGCCTCCAGGTTCTTCCTGCCTTTTGGTATCTTTTTTGTCTTCACTCTGAAATGGTGGACATCGCACGCTGTAACCTCATCGGTCACATCACCCCCGGCCACAGAGAACACAGTCCATGCCGTCGTGTCCGACCTGACCACTATCCATGCCCTCTTGCCCTCTTCCCCATTCTCAGATTCGTTGATACCGCCCTCACTAACCCTCATCCGCATGGCGGCTTTCACATACCCACCTTACCTGATCCTCACTTACTTCGTTCCCTTGCGTATCTGCATCGCAATAACCGGGACGCTCGTACTCACCCACCGTGCCAGATGGGCCCGCAACGCACGCACCGTACTCGTGCGAAGCGCACACCTCCGTTGGGGTTTCTACCGCCTCTACTCGCTCTTCTCAGGCGAGCCTCTTCCCATGCCCACTGCTCCTTCACCACCCCCTGAGTACGCATCCCGCCCCGTCTCAGGCATCACTGAATACACCAATGCCGCCTCCCATACCTCCGAACCCAACAACGAAGATGACACCACCCCCCGCCCATCTCCACCCCTTCGCTTCCTGTTCACCGTGTACGAGAACCAGCGGTGGTGGATGGGTCTCGACTGGACCGCTGCGTTGCTCCCTGGAGAGCGTCCCTCTTGGTGCAGCGCCTCTCAAGTTCCTCTTCCTCCGCCCTCTGCCTTCTCACTCCCGCCACCCACGACGTCGTTTGTGCCTGTGGGCAAGAATGGTAGGGCAAAGCGTGTGGCAAGGTGGGGATGGGAAGAACCAGAATGGCGGGTGCTGGTGAGGAGGGAGGGTCAAGATGGGCTTTGGAGGATCGAGAAGACGCCGCCCAAGGATAAAGATGCGGCTGATGAAGGCTCTGGGACTGCTGCGCGAATGTTGCGAGCTGCAAGGGGCCGAGACTCTGGCGGTGCGGGCACTAGCGGAGCGACTGAGACTCCTGAGCGGGATAAAAGTGCCAGTGCAGACCAGCATATCAGCGATCCTTCTATCATCCCAGGCCAGGAAGATGACGTCGTCACGGACCCCGAAGGGTGGGTTTACGGCGATAACAAGTGGGAAGGAGCGAGTGGCAAGGGTGGGATGGGCAAGTACACCAGGTACCGCCGCTGGACACGCATCGCGACACTTACTGAAATGGTCGAGTTGGTGGGTCCTGGGGAATTCGGCGTATTGCGCGATTCTGGGGCTTTCAGTACTTTCAGCGGCGAAAATACAGCCTCGATGTTTACTGCAGGCGCCACATCACCTACTGCGTCTTCTTTCTCTGATTGGGAGAGTGCGGGATCTGTTCCAGAGCCTCAGAAGGAGTCGCAACCCGGAGGAACGAAGGGCATGCTTAGACAGCGGTTGAAGGCTGCGGTGGATGGATCTGGCCATTGATTGTATTCGCCTTGTACTATTATTGTATGTTACTTCCGTCAAACTAACTATGGAACTGGTGGTCTCGGTCGTGCCGTGTTTATTACTTGCTGATTTATCAGTGCCTCCATACTTTGACCGTTCCATCAGCACTGGCAGTGATCATCTCTCCAGCCTCGCTAGGATGGTGCTCAATCCATGTGATCACCTTGCCGTGGACCTTGGGAGGAGGGTTCGGCTGAAGGACCGCCGCCTATGAATGAGTACCGTGAGTAAAAGCTGAATTCTTATCCGATGGAAAGAAATTACGCACATCAACCAAGTCCCAACCCCACACGCGCCCATCTTCGTCACCACAAACAACGGTCGC